GGGCGCTGACTCTCACCAGTGGCTATGGATGAAGTCACAGGCGATTTTCAGCCAGCGCCGGTTGTGATGATTTTTTAAGTTCTTTTACCTCTTTATCTATATTATCAATTCTTTCTTCCATCTTTTGCATTTTCTTCTGTAGCTGTTCTAGTTGCTCTTCATCAGTATATTTCTTCTGAATTGTTGTCTCTGAGGTATTTGCTGTCTTAAAGACTTCCATTGTTTCTTCCATCATTTTCTTCTGTAGCTGTTCAAACAACTTTACCTCAACATATTTCTTCTGGTTCTCTTTATCTGGGGTATTCATTGACTCTACTTTTTTAGGAGAAGGGTGTGTGTGTGTGTGTGTGTGTGTGTGTGTGTGTGTGTGTGTGGTTTTTTTTCATGATGAATGAAACAGATTTCTACTTTTGTGACATTATGTGAGTCTTTTCTTAGTAGATGTTAGGTTGTTGTAACTATATCGTGACCCCAGGTATGATGATGTTTTGTGAAGGGCCTGTGTATTTTGTGCTCCCTTCTTGCATTGTTTCACCCAAAGTACCTAAATGGCAGAATAGGAAGTCTGTTCCCTTTCAGAAACCACATCTTGGCTCAACTTGACCTGGTCCAGCCCCTTCAGCTTGAGCTGAAGGTATCCCATGTAGTGTAACTAGACAGCAGTGTTTCACCCAAACTACCCAAATGGCAGAACAGGAAGTCTGTTCCCTTCCAGAAACCACGTCTCAGCTCAGCTCACCCTGGCCTGAGTCCTACAGCTTGAGCTTAAGGGGTCCCACATGGTGTAGCTAGAGAGCAGTGTTTCACCCAAAGTACCCGTGAAATTGGTGCTCCTGGCACTGGACGACAGGGGCAGCAGCAGGTTGTTGTCTCCAGTCAGCGGGGAAAGTGGTCTATGGCTCTGGGTGGGACAGTAATTTGGGCCACACTCAGCCTGGCAGGCAGTGGTTCTGTTGCTGGCCAGGGTGTGAGTGCACATGGCTGGGCCATAGCCTTTAGCAGACGCTTGGGAAGAGGTGGCTCCAAGACGTTCCTGGCCCATCATGCCACACTGGCCTTGGCGTCTTGCCACAGAGCATTGGTAAGGTCCCTGATGGAGTGCACACTCAGGCTCAAGAAGCACAGGCACAACTCAACTTTATGTCTTTTAAAGATGCTAAAAGAAGGAAAAAAGGCCAAGTAATAGTAACTTTCTTGCTTAATATTTCTGGTTCTTTTCATTTGTTACTATAGATTTGAATGATCATTCGGTGACATGTCTTTAAACTCAATTACTCTATTGTTGTTCACATATCAATTTCTCTGCTCTGTAAGCCCAACAAAAGACATGCTGTTTTATACAATTCATTTTTAAGTAAATTTAGAAGGGAAAGGAGAAAAAAATAGGCATTTATATCCTCTCCCTCTAAAAAACTCACTCACTGTCACCAGCGTCACTCTAGTTCTTGGTGACACTCCATTTGGAGTCTAATGCTGTATATCTTTTTTCCCCTACTGTTTTGCTTTTGAAAATTTTTTATTTTTTATTGATATTTTAATGAAAGTTTACAGAAAACTTGGATTTCCATTCATTCATTGGTGCACATTTTCCTCCCTAATCCCCCGAGTTTGCTTTTCTCTTTAAAAAGATCCTTTCACACTTCACCAAAGAAGACATTCAGATGGCCAACATGCATATGAAGAAATGTTCAAAATCCC